CCATGGTCAGCCCCTCCCTTGGCCCCTCTCTCCACAAAGACCCCTCATGGTCCCTCTCTTCATAGAGAGCCCCACTATGGTCAGACACCCTCCTAACGGCCCCTCTCTCCATGGAGACCCCCCTCTGTATGGTCAGACACCCCCCCATCACCCTCCACAAAGGCACCCCCATCTCCGTGGCCAGACCCCCAGGCTCCCCCTCCCTCCTTTCCATTCTGACCCCCATCACCACAGGCAGGTGCCCCCCATCCCTCTCTCTGCAGGACCCTCCAGTGAGACCCCTGAGCCCCCACCTCGGGGGTCCTGCCTGCAGCCCCTTCCCCGCTGTGCTGAGTGCCCGCTGTGCTCTCTCTGCCCCAGGACCAGCTGCAGCAGAAGATCATCTGCCCCGGGCCCGTGACCTGCCTGACGGCCTCTCCCAACGGGCTCTACATCCTGGCAGGAGTCGCCGAGAGCATCTACCTGTGGGAGGTACGGGGTCCTGGGGGGCTCGGGGACATGCAGACCCACACCCTGGGCAGTCAGGGAGTGCCCTGTCCTTTTGGCAGTGCCCCCATCCCTCAAGTGTCCCTACATCCCCGATCCCAGGCCTCCGCAGCCTGTGGGGCAGCTTGTCAAAGCAGGAGGGGGAGAAATTCCGGGAGAGGTTTCGCTCTGCCCTTTCCTTCTCTTTCCAAGAGGCTCCCAGTGACTCAGGGGCCAGGTGTTGCTCCCTCGAGGCAGCAGCACAGGACCCAGTTTTTCTCCAGTGCTTCTCCCACGTTTCAGCTGCGTGTTTCTGTGTGCCCAGGGTGTCAGCAGCCCCTGCTGTGCTCTGGTTGTTGTCCTGCTGGTTAATTACTCCTGGATTACGTGGGATTACACTGCGTTCCCGGCACACCACCGAGCAAATAAAAGCAGTAGCTTGTCCTGAGCCCAGGATTAAACCCTGGGATGCCTCACCTGGAGAGCTCCCCGTGCCAGGGGAGCTTTGAGCCTCGTGGTGTGGGCGGCTCTACCTGAACTCAGCAGGGTTTGCTTGTACCAGTGTGCTTGTGGCAGCGCTGGAATAAAATCCCTGACAGGGACCAGAGGTCTGAGCCTGCAGCAGTGGGAGCTGCTGCTCATGGTGCTCCCAGCTGGGCCCTGCCCCGCCTCCCCTCACCTGCAGACGAGTTCCAGGGTATGGCACTGTCCCCCTGGCACATGGGAGATGTTCCATGGAAACCATGATGGAGATGGAACCAGCCCCCAGAGTCCTGGTCTTGTGCTATCTGTGTAACCCCCTGAACTGTAGTTTAGTTTGATTTTTGGGTGTAATTCAGATAACAGGAGGGAATCAACTCCATTATTTTATTTGAGGCTCACTTGCTGCTTTGTTCCCTCCACATCTGCAGTGTTGCCTTCTTACAAGAAATGCTCCAGGTCTGGGGATTCCTTCTCCACCCTGAAGCCTCCACTGGCCCAGGATCATGAGCACCCCTGGGGTGTCACACAGCCTCCTGCAGCTCTTGTAACCCTGCTGCCACTTCCTGAGGGCTTGTGGGAGGTGGGAAGAAGCCGCCAAAGTAATATGAACCTTAGGAGGGAACAGGAAATCTTTACTGCACACTTGTGTCTTAACCAGAGAAACGGCTCTGGCATCACTAGGTTCCAGAGTTAATGTGCCAGGACCTCTCCCACTGCTGTTGTGCTGCATTTCCCTGCAGTCCTGGCACATGTGGTTGTTCTAGCTGCACCTCCGTGGTGTCAGTCGCTGCCCGTGAGGTGCCAATGGGCTCCTGTGCTCAACAGAACCTCCCCTTCATCCCTGCTGCACTGAGGGCAGGGCACCACGTTATCCTGGTATATCTCAGTCCTTGGCACTCTCCATGCCTTGACACTCTCTGCCCTTCCCCCTCTCTGCAGGTATCCAATGGGAACCTCCTCGCCATCCTGAACCGACACTACCAGGACCTCACGTGCCTCTGCTTCACCGACGACAGCAGCCACTTCCTCTCGGGGGCCAAGGACTGCCTGGCCCTGGTGTGGAACCTCTACAAGTAAGGGGGTCGGGGGCACAGGGAGCATCAGGGTAGGGGTGTTGGAGTGACAGATCCCCGTGCCCTGTAGGCAGGACCAGCTCTGTCCAAGCCCACGTGTCCCAGCTGGGTCTGTGCCATCCTTGGGGGCTCTTCCACAGGTGGTGTCCTCGCGGGCAGGGAGGTTTTCCCTGGGGTCTCACGGGTTTCTTGGGAATATGGCTCTGACTTCTTTTCCTGGGTGACACAGAGTGGACTGTGCCCTTCCCTTGCCAATGGCAGCCCCTGTCTCTGTTCCTGTGGGATGGGGAGCTCAGCTGTGGCCCTCAGCCTAAGTATCCATCCGTGGCTGCCGGCAGCTCCCGTGCTCCGCTTGGTGCCTGCAGCCAGGAGAGCAGCCAGGAGAGCCAGCAGGAGCAGAGCCTGGCCCAGCTCCCCACGGGGCTCTGCCCTGGCTGACCCACCGTGCTGCCCCTCTCTGCTCTCCCCACAGTGTCCTGCAGGCAGAGCCCTCCCAGATCCCCGACCCCCGGCACGTCTGGTCCCGGCACAGCCTCCCCATCACCGACCTGTGCTGCGGCTTTGGAGGGCCCCTGGCACGGGCTGCCACCGCTTCCCTCGACCAGACAGCCAAGGTGAGGCTCATTCCAGAGGTGCCAGACCCTGCAGGGTCAAAGCCAGGCTCCGCCAGGCAGCAGGAAGCTGTCCCTGTCCCCAAGCTGTCCCAAAGCTTTCTCGGGTTGCAGAGGCTGAATTTCTTGGCTGTCTCTGCAATGACTCAGAGCTGCCAGACCTGGACTCTGCTTCTCCAACACCAGCAGTTTCTCTGCACCTGCCCCTGGGCTGGGCTGCTGCAGTCCCTGTTCTCCTGGGAATGTTGGGGTCAGCTCCTCTGATTCCCACTGCTGATGTCCACAGGGAGCAGAGCAGGCTGGAGCCTGTAGGGAGAGGGGTGCCCTGGGGGCAGGATGGGCACGGAGAGGGTTCAGGGCTGTTGTGGAGCTGCCTTGGAAACTTCTCTCCTGGCCACAGAGAGACTGATGCTGGGTTCTGCCCCGGTTCTGCCTTGCACTCAGTTTCCCAGTCCCAGACAGGAAGGGATGCCAGGGTGGGATGCCAAGGTGCCAGTGTGGGATGCCAGGGTGTCCTCCAAACCTGTCATTAACATTCCATGATTTCCTGTCCCTTCTCATGCCAGCTCTGGGAAATCTCGTCTGGGGAGCTCCTGCTTTCTGTGCTCTTTGACGTGGGGATCATGGCTGTGACTCTGGACCTCTCAGAGTACCACATGTTCTGTGGTGGCATGGATGGGTCCATCTTCCAGGTTGATCTTTGTGCTTGGGTGAGTGCGTGGGGCTGTGGGTGTGCCCTGTCCCCCCGAGCCACCATCACTTCCCTGCTGGGACTAGTGTGACCTGCCAGGGCACGGGAGGGCCTGGTTCCCCTGTGTCTCCCCTGCCCCCTCCAGACACGGTGATGAACCTGCTGGCTTCAGCCTTCCTGAATTTTAACCCCTCTCCCTTCCTTCCTTCATTTCTGCAGCCAGTCCAGAGAGACCGGACCTTCCAGACGGAGCGGGAGAACGGGAAGGTCTTCAAAGGGCACAGGTGAGGGACCAGACATACCTGCCAGCCACCATCTGCCCCCATCTGCCCACCTCACCGGCTTCTGGCAGTCCTGGGGTCATGCCGAGTTTAAACATCCTCTTCCCCATTCCAGGAACCAGGTGACGTGTCTGTCTGTCTCCACGGACGGCAGCCTCCTGCTCTCGGGCTCTCACGACGAAACCGTCCGGCTGTGGGACATCCAGAGCAAGCAGTGCCTGAAGACCATGAATCACAAAGGTAGGAATGTCCTTATCTCCAGGATCCTTGCTGCCAGAGGCCACTGCTGTCTCACCTGTGCTGCCCTGGGCACTGCAGGGGTGTCTCTGCCCCGGGAAGGGCAGAGGTTGGAGGAGCCTCGGCTGTCTGGAGCGATGCCGTGTGTTAATAACCCCCCACCCTGTGCACTGTCGGGAGTGAGTCATGGACTTCACCTCGTCACTGAGGTCACCCGGGATCTTCCTCCTTGTTTTCCCAAGGGAGCAGTCACCCCATACACACCCCAGCTGTGTCTGGAGGGGACATGGCTCTGTGACCCTGCAGTGAGCACCCGTGAGCTCATGGGGCCTGAAGCGAATCCCATATGAGCAGTCGTCTGGGATTTCAGTCTGATGGCTCTCATAAACTCTGTGGAGCAGCAGTCAGGTGCCTCAGAGCAAGGGGATGTTTACCCCTCCTGTTGTTAACTGGGTTCCTTCTCCAGTCCCTGGTGCCATCCCGGCCAGTGGGGTTGGCACTGCTGCTCTCAGGCACGGCCCAAACCCCCTGGAAGGTGATGGTGAGGACAGCCAGACCCTGTTCCCCTGCAGTGGTTGGGCTGCTGCCTCGGGGCAGTCTCTGGAAGCCAGGCTGCCTCCAGACCCTTTCCCTCTTCCCTCTGGCTGCCAAGGACCATCCCTAATTGGGACCCACTGCAGCACCCATCCAGCCTGGCGCCACTGGCATTAGAGGGTGAAAAGAGATGGAATCAGAGGAGAGTGCCTGGACTGGGCTCTTCCCAGGAGGGGCAGGACCAGGCTGACCCTGAGCTGTGGGTGCTCTGCAGTCTCTTCTGGCTCCCTCTGCTGCCTGTGGGCAGGGATTTGGCTCCCCTGGCAGCCCTGGCACCGGCACCACCCTGCTGCGCTGTGTGTGCTCTGCCAAGCCCAGGATAGGCTGGGAGCCCACCACCCCCAAGCAGTGTCCTGGGTCTGGGGTCCCTGCAGCCCCCCTGCATGGGGGGCTCTGCTGCCCCAGCCCCACCCTCACTCTGTGGGGCAACACTGGTGTCTGTGGGTCCTCATTCTCCCTTGGCCTGTCCGAGCAGCAGCGTGAGCCCCTGGCAAGGTCTGTCCCCACTGCCCTGCACCCTCCAGTGCATCCCACTCCCTCCCCAGGGCAGGGGTGACACGGGCTCTGCTGTGGTGACATGACAGCAGCCTCCAGCCCGGTGTCCTCGGACAGCATGGTCCCTCTCACACGGTGGCCGGGGGCAGGCGGGGCCCGCTGCCCTCCCTCCGCTCTCGACACTGATCAGAGGAGCTGCAGTGTGGCTTGGGGCCAGGCATGGGGGGCTGTGACACCAAGGGTGGCTTGTCCTTGGTGGAGACAGAGCGTGGGCAGGCAGGTGGGCTCTGAGAAGTTGGGCTGCTGCTCCCGGGTGATGAGCTGTGCTGTCGAGGCAGGGCTGCTGCCTGTCACCACATGGCCAGCACCACTCTGGGGGGAAGCAGGAAACCTCCACTGCCCCCAGATCCCTCCAGGCCTCTATTCCAGTCCTGTCACACGAGCTCCATCCTTGTCTCTCCAAACACAGAGTGGTAGCAGTGGCCGAGCTGCTGGAGGGGGGCTGGGGGGCAGCTGTGTCTG